ACTTCCATTTGCAAGTGTCCGCGACATTGTTGGGGCTAACCTACTTAATCACGTGGGCACGTGAATGTACAATAAGGGATCTCTAACCTTTCAACTGTTGAGGGAGATTACTCTATGATATGATTAACAATCTCTGGCCAAAGTATGAATGAGATTTAGGAAGTCGTTCCAAATCAGTTTCAAGGTAGTCTTGTAGACAGGAGAATCACATTGGATAGCAGACATGAACAAACTATCAATCAAACAATGTAATCAAGAGTATTATATTAAAGAAGGGTCAATTGCATTGATAGCCCAACCTTTTCTGATTAAGGTGTCACTCATGGTTTGTGAAAGCCTTGAAGATAAAGAATCACAAAGGGAGAATTGAAAGTAAATTTCAATTCACCATCAATTATTAAGAGATCTAATTGCCTACTGCCTCTTTATATGGAAAACTAATATATCGCACACTAAGTAAGGTAATGATTGAAGGATATAACAAAGTTGAGTAAGGACAGTAAAATAGGTTAATTGTATGGACTTGGATTCTCTGCCCTCCCATTTCGGTGCCCTCCCCGTGCCCTCCTATTTTGTGTGGTCACGGTTAATCCATGCTAACATTTTATATTGTTTTTTATAAAAATAATAAGACAAAAAAAAAAAGTAATATAAAATATTGACGTGGCTTAACCGTGACCACACAAACAGGAGGGCACGAGGAGGGCACCGAATTGGGAGGGCAGAGAATCCAATTCCTAATTGTATATGGTCAAGATTAATTAATTGGTTAATTAATCATACAAAAAGTTTGTATTAGGGTTTAATTGGTTTTGGGTTTCAGGGCTCAAATGAGTTTGGGGTCCATAAGACCCATTGAGTTTAAATTGTATGACAACTAAAACAAAATAGGAATTAACCAAAACACAAACACCAAAACCAGCCATGCTAGAGGGAGAATGATGGTTGACTTATTACAAGCTTGCCACTCAATTCGAAAGAGGTATAAAGGCATTTATACCTTTAACCTCATTAGGGTTATCTTTGAGAAAATATGAGAGAACACAAACTCTCTCTTTCTCTAAAGGAGGCTGGCCACCATGGAAGATTTAGCTACCAATATTTTCTTCCATGATTACTCATCTTCTTCCTGAACCATCATTGGTGTTGGAACTTAGAGCCTTTACTTTGGGGGTTTTTGGAGAATCATTCAGTCAACCAAATCCTAGAATTCAAGGAGGCAAAAACATGAAGATGAAGGCCAAAGAGTTCAACTCAAGGAGAGGAATGAAGGCCCTCTCATGGTGATTAGCCTTCGCTTATGCAAAGAGGAACTTCAAAGGTATAAAGCAATCTTATCTCTTTTTGTCTCATGAGTTGAGTCTTCGGTTCACCAATATATTAGGTTTTGAATTTCATGGTTTAAGTTTTGTTCTAGAGTGCATACAAGCATGCTTCCGCCAATTAATAGTTAAATGCATGTAATATGTTGCTCAATAAACTTAATTTAGCAAACAAATTTCCTTCAAGTGGTATCAAGAGCCTAGGCCTAGTAGTTGGTGAACTTTTTGGCTTTTGTTGTTCATAGCTTATGATTTTAATTTTATAATAGTTACACGGTTATTCTTGCTTCTTTGAACGTAAATTTTGTTTGAAAATTTGCAATCTCAAAAGTAGTAGTTGTAGTTGATTTGAGCATAAAATTTGGAGCTAAAATTTGGAGCCATGTTAGTGGGGAAATTTGGCCAAATACATGTGGTGGAATTTGGGTTCATGTTTGTCTTGTTAAAAGAGTTTTAAAGTGACATTAGAAACCCCTTTTGTTTGAGAGAGTTTTGGGTTTCTTTGGATGAAAAATATCCATGAAGCTCGTTATGGGTTATTGTTCTGTTATTCATGTTTATAGCAAGAACAAAACGTTGGGGGAGTTCTGATGCAAAATTTCTGTGTTTTGTTTAGTCTTCGCTTGTCTTTATTTGTGTGATTTGAATGGTACTTTTCTACTCATCACACTTTCCTCTCTTTCCTCACACTTTGATTTTTATGAAATTTTCACTCACTTTCTCTCTACCAAAACCGGCCACCCTATGCAAGTGGGGTCTTTTGGGTCTTTCTTGCAATTACATAAAGTTTTGATACTTTTGTGTTTTTCACTTTGACCCAAAAGTTTATATTTTTGCATAAAGGCCCAAATTCACTAAATTGTTTTTTTCTTTTAATGAAGTTTTTGTAATTGTTGAAAATTTTAGGTTCTAGTTATAATACCATGAAGTTGTGAATATTTTTGTATTTAGAAAAGTTGATATTATTGCATTTTGGCTCAAATTAGCTAGCAAACAAAATAACTTTCCCTCTTTGTCACATCTCGACCTGGGCTCCACTCCGCCGTAGCACGATATTGTCCGCTTTGGGCCCCGACCACGCCCTCACGGTTTTGTTTCTAGGAACTCACACGAGAACTTCCTAGTGGGTCACCCATCCTGGGATTGCTCTCGCACAAACTTGCTTAACTTTGGAGTTTCAATGGAATCCGAAGCTAGTGAGTTTCCAAAAGGCCTCGTGCTAAATGGAGGTGAGTATGTACATATAAGGCATAAAGGATCCACTCCCCTAGGCGATGTGGGATCTAACAATCCACCCCCTTAGAGGCCCGACGTTCTTGTTGGCACACTTCCGGCCAGGGATTGGCTCTGATACAAAATTGTCACATCCCGACCCAACCTCCACCACATCCCGGGCTCGACTCCGCTGTAGCACGATATTATCCGCTTTGGGCCCTGACCATGTCCTCACAGTTTTGTTTCTGGGAATTCACACGAAAACTTCCCAGTGGGTCACCCATCCTAGGATTGCTCTGGCGCGAACTCGCTTAACTTCAGAGTTAAGATAGAATTCGAAGCCAGTGAATTCCCAAAAGGCCTCGTGCTAAATGGAGGTGAGCATGTACATATAAGGCATAAAGGATCCACTCCCTTGGGCAATGTGGGATGTAACACTCTTTAAATGAGAATTAGACTTTCATTTTATTTAGCTTCATTTAAATCAGTTCTATGAATACAAAAACCAAATAATATTGTTGCATTCTAGTTTAATTAGATAATGTGATTGATTATCTAAAGCAAGAGTGATTATAAACCTAAGTCTACGCTGATTGAGCTTTGACCGTCTATCAAATTTGTTTAAACCATGAGAATTTGTAGATTTGATTAGATCAAATGTATTGTAAAAGAGCATAAGATCCTCTTGCTTTGAAGTACTTATTTTATGTTTTATTTGATATGCATGCAAATTGGAGTAGTTGTGTTCAATGCCCAATACGAAAACACACATTAATTTGATTAAACGCGTAAATGAAATCAATCACCCTCCCTAGACCGAGATCCAACACTAGGCTTGTGTTACTTCAAAAACCGTTTTATATAAATATAGTGGGACATATGCTACTAAATAAATCACATGGATAATAGTTGTGATAGGACCAAATAATTTTAATTAGATTAAAATGACTGTTAATAAGTGATGAGATCAAAAACCCTCGATCAAACCAATATTAAGTTGACAAGCATGAGGGTTCTTTGAACACTCTTTAGTCGCTTCCCACTGTGGTAAGCTCTAATCGTTTGTGACTCGTACTCCAATGTCATCCTATCAGGAAGGAGTACAAAGCATGTGCTTACACTTAGGAGGAGTTCTATATGCATACATGATGTTGTGAAGGTAGGCAACGAGAGTGACAACATCATATCATTTTGAGGTTATTCTTGAACCCCATACGAATTTGCATGGTGGGAAAGACTTAACTAATGCCATGGCGCCAATATCATATCATTGTGAGGGTGACATTCTTTGGAGGCCAAATAACTTACAAGAGATGTAAATGAGCAAGAGTTACTCTCTCATTATTATTAATGCTACTCAACATCATGTCATTGTGAGGTGGGCTTAGTAAAGGTGGCCTCTCATACCTTACTAAGAGTTTTGTCCAAAATTCTCGAATCCAACTAAAGGATATAGAATTTGCCAAAAGTAGTAGATGATGCTATTTGATTTAAAGACCCGAACCAAATGGTTTAAAATCAATCAATTTAAATATTGTTATGTAAATGTTTACCTATTTGTGGGATTGATTTTCTGATTTGATTTAATTGAAAGTAATTGAATTAAATTTGAATCAGCAGTTTAAGGAATTAAACCATAATTGAGGGATTTGATTAATGAGGGTTAATTTGTTCTTTTTTACTTGATTTGAGTTGTTTGACAGAAGACTCAGATGTCGACATGTGTCACTCTTGATGGCTCGTTCGGCTTTGATGAGTCACATACAATGTGTGTAATTTGACGAGACCTATAACATGCGCTACATAAGCCCTAGCGAATCAAAATTTAATTTATTAGTAAAAATTTATTTCACTAAAAATTCAATGTCTATATATATATATTTTTTTTTTTTTTTTTTTTTTGAATGAACGATATTATCTACATTAAGAGGGAGGATGGTGGGCTAAGCCTCACAATATACTTGTAATAAAGTGGTTCAAATTTACTTTTGGCGAGAATCGAACCTAAGATCTTTTATTTATAAATAAAGAAAAAAACCACTATATCATAATACTAAATGACTCAATATCTACCTATATTAGAAAAGGTTAGTCTGCTGTCCTGATCGATAGAGGAAAAAGAATGAATAATTTGCTAGCTTTCCAATTATTGTTGTCATCGAAGTACATGTTGTGATGTTAGTCGTGACAAACTTTCCATTAGAAAACAATTATATTTTTATTTTATTTTAAGAAGAGTCGATGGATTCTAAAAAGATGAAGTTACAAAACCCAGTTACATCAACAATTATATTTAATTAACTTGCGCGGCATACAAGTTAATTAACCCAATTGTCGTAGCCTGCACATATATCTAATCGTATCGAAGTTTCAATCCGGACCATTAATTAATTTTTCAAACAAGAATTCAAATCCCCTATAAATAGTTGGTTGCTTTTACGCTTGTTATTTAGAGCACACAACACTTAATTAGTTTGAGCTTAAACAATGAGAACATTTTTAATATTGATTGCGATTTTGTTAAGTTTGAGTTGTGAAAGCGTCGCAAATGGATTCAAGTTGATGCCATCAGAATTTCCGGAGGATTTCATCATTCATGTTAATACTGCCTCATCATCTTCTTCTACTGTGGCTGATCAGCAAAATGGAACCAGATGGGCAGTCTTAGTTGCTGGGTCGTTTGGTTATGGCAACTATAGGCATCAGGTGTATATATAATCACTTTCATTAAATATATGTTAGTTATTTATGAGTATATGTATGAGTATAATCCCTTTAATTACGTTGAGGATCCTTCAAATAAGTTTATTTGAGGGACAACTTATGGAGCCGATTGCGTAACTTTTTCTTAACCATTCAAATGTTTATATTTTAATTCATCATTCATAGATTATTTTTGCAATAAGTTACACAAGTTCAAAATCACTAAGATCCAATTGTAGTAAAGAAAATAGATGAATGCAGTTCTTCAAAGAAACACTAAAATGATTACCATTTAATTAAACAATCATATGGTTGCAGATTTTGGTGATTTTTAATAATAATCTCTACTAATTAATAAAACTCTAATTGTCAACCAAAACCTTATGAAATTACCAGTTTAACCCTCTAATTAAAATAGAACATGAAGAAGAAATATGGGGTAGAAATGTAATTTCACACAACCAAATTTTGCTGTTTTTTTCAAAGCCTCACCTACATGTAATCCTAACACATCTCTAATTTAAAAAAAATTAAAAAAAAAGAAAAAAAAAACTTCCCACTCCCACATTCTCTATCACTCTCTTCCTCTCTCCTTCTATTTCAAAAACAAAAATAAAAAAAATTTCTCACACACTTTGTGTGTGCCCATATGCTAGTTGTATTTAAGGGAAGACTCTAAGATAAACAGTTGGATCCTTGAAATACATTAATTAGGGCTTAGGCCCTACAAGAGATCCCTCAATGGAAGAGGACTATTAAATACATGAGAAATGTTCTCTTGTATACTACTGTGCATCTTAAGCCATTAATCGATCATGTATATGTCCTTACTACTCTGTGCACATGCTATATATCAGATCATTGATTTTTGTTAGCACATGTCTCAATTCAGAATCAGACTACATATGCATTTTTTTTTGTCGAAAGCAACTTATATATAAGCATTTGTATGATATATAAGTTTGTCAAGAAAATATATGGAAATGTAATGGAAAATGCAATTTTTTTCTTCTTGTTTTTATTTCTTTTCATCTCTTAAATTATGTATTATTTTTCTAACATGATTTCTCACAATATGATAGGCCGATGTGTGTCATGCATATCAAATATTGAAGAAAGGTGGACTAAAAGATGAAAACATCATTGTTTTTATGTACGATGACATCGCAAACAACGTTGAGAACCCTAGACCTGGTGTCATCATCAATAAGCCAGATGGCCCTGATGTTTACAAAGGGGTTCCCAAGGTTCTTTACTATCTTATTATGATGGAGGACCATCGTAACACATGTGACATACTGATTTGGTGTTACGAAATTACTGCTTAATATGATATTTCAAGTATGCGCCACATATTATGTTTCATATGTTATTCTTATTTTTGGTAGGATTACACTGGAGAAAATGTTACTGCTGCCAATCTTTATGCTGTTATTCTTGGAAATAAAACAGCTCTCAGCGGGGGCAGTGGCAAGATTCTGGACAGCGGTCCAAATGACAATGTTTTTATATATTATACCGACCATGGCGCCTCTGGGATAATTGGTTTGTAACTTTAATTACTTGATAAAAATGTATTTTCTATAGCAGGATTTTGTATAATACTGGTTAACTGTTTATCAAGTGTGTATTATATATATATAAACCTGGACATAATATAGATTACCTGATCAGTTTTGGATGGTGATTAATTAGGAATGCCTGAAGGCGATTACGTGTATGCTAACGATCTCGTGGACGTTCTGAAACAGAAGCATGAAGCTAAGGGTTACAAAAAAATGGTAAATAAGTCGTCATTGTATTTTTTTTTTTCCTTGAATTTTTGTCAAGCAGTACAATAGTGATAGCTGTACAATATATAACTAATTGCTAAAAGAAAAGGTTTCTTGCTTTGTAGATTTGTAAATTCAAATTAATGATTTTATGTAATTACCAAAATTAATCAGGTATTTTACCTAGAATCTTGTGAATCTGGGAGCATGTTCGAGGGTCTGCTTCCAAGTAATATAAGTATCTATGCGACTACAGCGGCAAATGCAACTCAAGATAGTTGGGCGACATATTGTCCTGGTTTTGATCCTGCTCCTCCTGCAGGATATGACACTTGTTTGGGAGACTTGTATAGTATTTCTTGGATGGAAGATTGGTAAGCATAACGCATGTGATATTCAGTACTAATTTGAGAACATTAACTGATCTCGAGCTAATTATAAAAGTTTGAAGTCACTTTTAAAAACGGATCTAGAGTCATTGGTATATAAATACTATTTTGAGAACATTAACTGATCTAGAGTCATTGGTATATAAATACTAAAAAACATGAAAATTTAGGTCCCTTTTTGAAAGTGAGCCTAGACCTTTGGATGTGCTTTGTACTGTGCTCAATAATCTCACTTTGTTTGTCTAATGCGCACCGGATACGTTTATGCATTTGAAGTGTTCTCAATTATTCCTTAAACATTTCTTTCTATATTTAAAATATCATTGAAAATATTTTCAGGCCCTAGTACTAATTAAATACGTACCGTTTATTTGAAAGTGTGAAGATTTTTTGAATAATTTTCTGTTACTGTTTTTGTGTAAATTGGGGAGCAGCGATGTCAAAGATTTACGAAGAGAAACTTTTGCAAACCAATATGAAACGGTAAGAAATCGAAACTTTTGCCTTGTAATTATTTACCAAGAAAAGCTTATACATAATATCTTGAGATTGAGCACACAAACTATAAACCAGACTAGTTGACTATATTTATTTATCAATACTTATTTATAAAAAAAAAACTATATTTATTAATATGCCTTGTCAACTTCCATTATTTGAACTTTAACTTGTTTGTTTGAGTCGCCACTTAGTATTACGGTCTAATGGTATTCCTCTTAATTTGTAAGAGAGGTCTTAGGTTCGATTATCGCCAAAGATGAATTTGAACTACATTATTGTTAGTTTATTATGAAGCTAAGCGTACCCCTTCTCCCTTAATGTAGATAAAATCGTTTGTTCAAAAAATAAAAAAAATAAAAAACTTGATTATTTGAACCATATATTAATTTGTTGGCTACATTTTTACAGGTTAGAAATAGAACCGCAAATACTAGTGAAGGACTTGGGTCTCATGTTACTCAATACGGAAATTTGAACCAAGCCAAGGATTTACTCTTCTCTTACTTGGGTTCAGATGACAACTCTACTACTTACACCAACACTAAATCCTCACCATCATTCTTAGGGCCAGTTTTTAACCAACGTGATGCAGACCTCCTCCACTTTTTGCACAAGGTCTGTGATCTCTCTCTCTCTTCTAGTTTGGGGTTGTTATGCTGTGAAAAAAAATAACGATGTTTTCTGAAGTAGGGGTAGAGTTGCTTCTGTTTTCTACTGTTTTGGATCCATGATTTTGACAAAAAAAAACACTTTTTTTTTGTTTCATTTACCAAACACAATTTTAGCCTCAACTTTATTAAAAAGTTGCTTTTAAAATAATTTCAGCAATGCCAAACCAGTCCTTAGTGTTTTTTTAAATTAAATTTATTAATTTCTTTGACCAACTTTTTCGGTCGGTCTTATTTTCGTAAAAAAAAAAAAAAAAAACCCTAATGATAGCTAGGATTAGGTAGAACAAAATTGTTCGGCGTAATTTTTCTTTATAAATATTGTTTCTTAAACTTGGGATTAGTTCTAAATCTTAAAATGTGATTTTGAGCTGCAACCATTCTTTTCATATATCATATATTCATCCAGGTACGTAAAGCTCCTGATGGCTCTCATGAGAAGCATGAAGCTAAACAGAAACTATCTGCTGAAATGTATCGTCGGGAGCGCATCGACGACAATATAAATCAAATCGCGCAACTAGTGTTTCGATATGATTCTAGCTCAAAAATGAAAAATATTCGGCGTAACGGGCAAGCTCTTGTGGATGACTGGAACTGCTTTAAGACTTTTGTAAGTCTTTCTTTTACGAATTAGTATAGTAACAACTATATATACAAGTAATATGAAAAATTATGAACTACAAGTACATGATCTATTTGTTTAAGCAAATACCTAAACCCTAGTTAAAACCAACTTGTTTGATGCTAGCTAGTTAATGAGATGATCTTCCATGCAGGTGAAAACTTACGAGAAATATTGTGGAGCACTCTCAAATTATGGAATGCAATACACAAGAATTATTGCCAACATGTGCAATTATGGGGTTACCATGGAGCAAATGACTGCAGCATCAACGAAAACTTGTTCTTAGACTTGAAAAGAGAACAAAAGGATTGTGCTCACATGTCCTAATAGTTTAAGCTTAATTTTTTTTATAAGTAATTGAAAAGTACTTTTACTTTTCTATAAATTTCGAAATAAAAAACTTAGTACGTCGCCTTATTTGTCAACTCTAGTCTTAAGCTCAATTATTTTCCTTGTTGATGAAAGAGTTCGTATTTAAGATTTTAAGAGAGTAAGAACAATAGAACTTGATTGTCGAATGTAATTAAATTCAATAACCAATTGGTCCTCTTATGTTCTTCCAAGAATCAACATCACAATAACAAAATTCTAGAAAAATATCCAATATTTGAACTAAAATTAATTTATTTATAGTTTCTATTTGTTTACCTCAAATTGCAATCTTTTAGTGTAAGAATTTGATTAGATATAATCATTATTTTGATAGAAGTGTATTGATGAAGTTAATAGAGTTTTGTAACGGTAGGTTATATGAAACATTCAAAACAACAATGTAGTGGACTTATTTGCAGTTAATTATGAGTTATTGAGAGAACTATTGCTTTCCTAATAGGTGGATAGCGATAGGCCTTATGTGGCTATAAAAAGGCTTGTCCAAGCTCTCCAAATATAAGCTTAATAGTGTGCTGAGTCCTATTGAAAGTATAAGCATCCAATTTTGTGAGAGTAGAAGACTATCTTTATTTTTAGCATCATGTCTTCTTCATCCTCAGGTCACGTGTGTGTCTAATTTTTGTGTGTTAGTATTGACTCTAGTTAATTGTGATTTTATGTTTTAGTTGATAATCATGTATGTGGGAGTATTAAGATATGACACTTCCAATACTACATTATTTGGCATGTAGCTTTGTGATCAGTTGAGTTAAACTTCAGTGATTATAGAGTAATGATGCAGCTGATATGCATCAACATCTCTATAGTTCTGGGTTTGATTTAGTTGATTACATCTATGTTTAAGTTGATAATCTTGTTATATAAACTCAGTGATCATTGATAACTTAATTCTATATAGTCCATTACTATGTGATTATGTATACTCAAGTGGGAGAATGTAAGAATTTGAGTAGACATAATCATTAGTTTGATAGAAGTGTATTGATTAAGTTAATAGAGTTTTGTAATGGTAGGTTATATGAAACATTCAAAATAATAATATAGTGGACTTATTGCAGTTAATTATGAGTTATTGAGAGACCTATTGTTTTCCTAATAGATGGATATCAATAGGCCTTATGTGACTATAAAAAAGTTGGTCCCTGCTCTCCAAATATAAGCTTAATAGTGTGCTAAGTCCTATTGAAAGCATAAGCATCCAATTTTGTGAGAGTAGAAGACTATCTTTATTTCGATCAGTGTAATTGTATAGATCTCTACACAACCATTGTTCATAATTACTATGCAAATTTATAAAAAAAAAAAAAAAAATTATGCCAAGTTTGAAGCGATTTATACATCCTTCATATGATGGTAAACTAATACAAATACACACCAATTAATTAGAAGCGTATGTAAGATAATTAATAGCAGAATAAACAAATCACAAATCCATTAACCACTCACCTTGAGAACTCATTGTTGCTGCAAAGATAGAGCTCTTCTACACCCGACAAAACTGTATGTAATTAACAAACAATGGGGCTTGTTCTTTTGCTTTTGCGTATTTAGTGTGAACACAGGACCCCTATTATATATCCTTAGTGGTGGTATTTGATTAGGTTACTTCCATCATGTAATCCTAATCAAATCATCCAAACAGATTACCTTATCACCACAAACCAAAGTGATCATATCAGAATAGTTAAACCTATTCATACTAGGATTACTCTCAACTTTATATTAGTCTAAATACATTCCCTGATAGCTTTACAAGTCTAGTCTATCATAATCTCTTATGACTTCAATCCTTTAAGCTCGTGATAAACTAAGTGTGCAGCCCCAATTAGTTTACATTCTCCCACTAGAGCCAATGCTTTTCACACAGGCCACCATATAAGGAATCATACTTGAGTGGCCATGAGAATAGGAACAACAAAATCCCATCAACAAGTATATGTCATAAGCTAGTATTCATGGAGGACTAAAGGGAATCAGGTCCTTAAAATTCATAAACACTATCCCCATAATCACTTTCATGAAACTGTCATAGACATGAAACCCCAACAAGACATGAACAATTAATACAACATGCACACTTGAATGTTTCTGTAATGCACCTTGTGTTATAGTCCATCTTTAATAAAACCAGTCAACGAGTCTTCTTCATTGTCTCACATTGAGACCCTTAAGTTGCCTTCTGTAATAACAGTTAACATAAATTGATTTTCCCAATAGCACATTGAAAATCTAATGTATCATATCTATAAACTACAAACATGGGAAACTTGTGCGACCAGCAGTTTATTTCTTTATTAGCTACGGTAAACTGAAAACAAATAACTTAATGCATGAATAAAACACAAACATGATTGATAAACAAATAATGTAATCATACCATAAGCTCCCACTATTCCATGAAATCAAAATTCTGTAAAACCCCCATGTTATGCATATGCTTCTTAAAGACCATTACTAGGACTGCTTTGGTTAAGGGGTCAACTATAATAGAAGATGTATCCATGTAATCTATTTTAACCAAACCCTCCACCACCTTTGCACGAGCAACAAGGAACTTGATATCCAAATTTCTGGTAGCATTGGACCCTTTTGTTGTTCTTGGTAAAGAATATGGTTGCATTGTTGTCACAATCATTGATCTTGATACCTGTTTCAATCCATAGATGGATTTCTTCAATATACAAACCAAATGTTCTATCCCTTCTCCCCTTCTTCCTTGAAACCTTCTGGTTGAGCCATGCATGTATATATCTTCTTCAAAATCATCATTCGAGACGACCATTTGATGTAAAAACAAGTCAAAATGTGCCATCAACGCCATGATCTCTCTAAATGCATCCTTGGTTGATACTAGACTAAAAATAACTTTGTAATCAATCCCCTTCCCTCTGGGTAAATTCATTGCAATTAACCTCGCCTTATGCCTCTCAATGCTTCATTTCGAATCTCTTTTTGTCTTCAACACCCACTTACACCCTTTGGTTAAACTCCCTGAAGTGGTTCCATAAATTCCCATACATTATTACCTTCCATAGAACTCAACTCGTTTCTCATTGCTTCTATTCATTTTTTAGAATTGTCACTGGACATAGCTTCTTTAAATGACATAGGGTCTTCAAACTTTTACAAGTAAGACTCACCTTCAGCAACATATACAAAATCTTCCATAGTATTTGACTTCCTAACCCTAGTTGACTTTCTTAATGAAACAATAGCATGCTGCACTAAGGTTATGTGTGCTGCATGATTAGTTGTGCTCCATTCGTGACATCTGCATGCACTTCAATCTCATTTTGAACTTGTACATATTCACCTTCTTCATTATTAACATTCATCTGATCTTCATGATTGTCATCAACATCCACATCGTCCATTTGCCCAGAAAAAGCAACCATCTCATTCTGATTTTCATTCTCAGTAACTACATCATTTCCTTCCTCAAATGCGAACTTTCTTGGGTTGGAAGTAGAGTCGTCATTGCCTTGAAGATTGCTTGGCTAGTCTCAGCAATTTTCATAGTGTAATTAGGCCAGTATAATATGTAGCCCTTTGACCTGCATGTCCCACGAAGTAACATTACAAAAAATATGGCCTCTATTTCTATTTGTGCCCTCTATAGGCGGCGTTACCTTTTGCTAAAAGAGCACAATAGACTGTTTGGGCTCAAAGAGGCAGACACAAGTGAACCACTATTTGTGCCTCGTTTCTGACAACTTGTTAGATAACCTTTTCCACACAAGTTGGCACTTCACATTGTAATTGTGCCAACATGAATTAAATATTAAAAAAAAAAAAGAAAATCAAAATTTGAAACTAAAATTGAGGAAATGAAAATTTTTAATTTTCTTAAAATGAAAAGGCCTACAACACATTCCCAATCTCACAAACATAATGTAATGTTACTTTTTTTATCTCTAATACAATAAAACTTGAAAGCACATATTTTTGGACATATGCATTTTCCTCAGCAAGCCTTGCACCTCATCAGAAGCCATAACAAATATAGGCGATTTCAAACGAAAATCAGTCCAAAATTACACCTAAAAAGGAGTTCGTTAAAATCAATTCGTACAAGTTCCAGATCTGCCATATCAAAGATTCATATTCCTCACTCCAGGTTGTTAAAGAAGCTTCTGGGTTTGAGACAACACATTTCTTTAGCTCATAGTCACTTGAATCGAAAAAATATGTAAGTTTGCATATTATTTAGGGTCAAAGTGAGTTACTTATTTTAATGACATATCTAGTATACATCATCAATAAACTTGCAATTTTAAAGGAGAAAATGAGTCTTAACTATTGTAAACAATGGATAAATAGAATATTCACAAATATACAACTAAACAATGGAGAAATGAGTCTTAACTGTCAGTGATACTTAAATCTTCAAAGCGTGGAATGTCTAAATAGGGAGGCCAGCTTGGTGGTACTTCCAAATCTCTGGTAACAAGACAAACATACAAACAAAAGCTGGTACTCTTTAGTCTTTATTAAGAATAATTAAAGAAAAAAGTGCATCTTATATACAATTCCAAGAAGACATAGTATAACTAGAATGCAAAACAACAAACCCCTCAAGCCATTTCTCCTTGCAGAGATTGATAAAAAAATTTGTATATCTTCTAAGGATACCATCCAATCGACCCACCAAATATGAATACCTTGTAGATCAGGCAATTAAACTATGGGTAGGGCAAAAACAAGCTTTTATGATTTAGTTCTACAAACCGATTCATACAGATAATGAAACCAATAATTCCTAAGAATACCATTGCATTTGAATTCGTCGGAAGCCAAACAACCTTCAACCACCACAAATAACCCAGTATTGACATCCCCTGCTTTGACAGCCTTTAAAAAATGACCATGAGTAAGAAATATATCAAGCAGTAAAATACATTATCACATTGGATATCGCTGAAAAAATGAACTATAAATTTAGACTACCAAGAAGCTCTTGAAAATGAAGGTGACATCATTTACACAGAGCAACAAGAATGAGTATGTAATGGCTTCCAAATTTTTAAATCATGATTCCTTTTCTTTACTTGATGAGATGCTATATATCCTTCCTCCAACATATTAATTGGTGTAATTCTGCTATGTATACATGCACTCGTTTGTGATTGAAACATAAG